CTTTTTCAGACTTAAGGCCACACATTGTGTAACAGAATTGGATGTCGGTTAATGTGATCCTAGCCTTTTCTCGGTGTGCTAGTTCGATTATGCTATTGATAACCCTATATGAGTTTATGGCAAGTTGTATGGGGTTGAGTTTGTAACAATGAAGGATTTCTCGAAAAAGAGTGTCTAAGGAAAACCTAAGTCCACACTCTATAAAGGCAACTACTAGGAAATGCATGGAATCTCCATCAGGCATGATGGAGTCCTCCTCCCTAACCAACATGAGTTGAACCTCGGTTGGGATGTAAAAATCTTGTCGAAAATACACTATTTTTTGCCAGGGTGTCTACCATCCACCTAAATATACCCATGATCTCGGCTTAGAGCATTTTGAGATGGATTTTAGAGAGAAGAAACTGGTAGGGTTTGAAAACCTCGGCTAGACCTTAGAGAGCACTAGGGTGAGGATTGTGAATTTCTATGGTGAAATTGGTTCCAGTTTTCCTAAGAAATAGAGTTCTAAGATCAAAGTGCCAAACCTAAACTATGGCGAAGCAAGAATCAAATGCAACAAATCTGAAAATAATCAAGAAAAACAGAAAGGGAACATGATTTAGAATGAAAAGAGCAACAATGTGGCAAGCACAGTGGTAAACCGTGACGATCGAAGAACATGGACAATTACAAACACTGAGTGAGTGTGTGAAGGCAGTGTGCAAGAACCATAGACAATACAAATACTCTAAAACTTAGGAACAAATTATGATGCAAGAACAAGAAATGATGACCAAATCATGAAGATAGAAACAAAGTGCAACTATAAAAACGAATTCAATGGCAATAAATATAGTATTAGTATATATTTAGAACAATGGAAGACTGAACTAGAAGAGAGTGAAACTAAGAGCTTACCAAATGGGGCCGAGAACACGGACGCTAGAATAAGGTTTGCCGGAGTTGGACGATGATAACGGCTGTGACCAGATAACGAAACAGGTGTAGAGAGCTCGTGAACGCAACAATGGAAGATTTGGAAATGTTAGAGAAAGAGAGAGTTTGAGAGACGAGGAAAAATTGTGAATTGCAAAAGTGAAAAGACGGAGAGAGAATAAAGAATTTTGTCAAATACAGAAAATGCGGCAGAACATAATGGGATGCCTTGGACGATGTGCTTGTCAGGCGGCGTGTGCAGAAGCGACGCAACCTGATAGTGCGTGTTAGGTATGAACCAATGAGAAAGGAACGCGTGGAGGAAACGGTTGAGAAAATCGTGCGTGACTCATACGCAGTCAAAACTCTTGGAGTTCTTGATTAATGAAGCAAAAACCTCAGCTAGATCAGCGATTTCGGTTAAGATATTAAAAGAACTTGACTCTTGGTTCTTGATCATTGGTAAAGATGGACAGTCGAGTCTTGGGTACTTGAAGCCGACGAGTAATGATCGTGGTTGTAGAGAAGGAATGAATTTTGGCCGACATAGTATATGAACAAGTGATGGAGGTTCCATCACCTCAGATTGCCGATGTCATATAACCTAGGGGGCAGTTGTGAGGACATATTTTGTGAATGACAGCACGTGACCAAGGTGACGCCGAAGTGTCAGCCGAGTGCCACGTGGCCTAGTCTTGATGCCAAGATTATCTCGGCTAGGCTGAGGTTATCTGCGGAAGAGTCCTAGAATAGAGGAGGATCTCAATTTGGATAAAGATAAAACTCTTAGGGAGTTTATCCCTATCTAGCTGAGAGTCTAGGATGAGCATTAAGTCTGAATCCACTAAAGTGAGGCTTCTACAAGGATCATGTCAATGATGGCTATAAAAGCAAAGCACCCCCGTGGGTCTGAGATATGTGTGTTAAACTGTGAGCAGTAAGATCTTTTTTGTGAGTTAAGCACAATTTACTATCTTTGAGAGATATTTGATTATTAAATTGAACGTCGGAGTGCCCCCAGGTGGACGAACCACCGCCGGATTCTTATCTTTCTGCGACAGATTGTTCGGGTTTATTGTATTCTGCAGGTGCTCTTCAGCTGAGTTCCCTGTTTGGTTGTGTGGTCAGAAATCAACACCTACATCTGCATTCCAATGAACTAAATATTATTTTATCTTTCAATTATCTAACAAAAATAATCCACATTGTTCTACCTATAATTTTTTTGGTTAAATTATATAAAACCACCCTTGAGATTTAAATGAAAATACAATACGTTTTACAAATTTAACATAATGTTAGTAAGATAATAACGTATATTTTTTATCCATAGTGCTATCAAATTATCAATAAAAAATAAATTAAGTGTTATATAAATTAAGATCTTTAAAGAGTCTTGTCTAATTATATCAAATTTGTAAATATCAATGTCAATATATATTCTCCAAAGTTGGTTAGTATAATTTATTCACGGGAAATTCTATCATGAACATTTCTTATTATATGCACCATTAAGTTATATTATTATTTTTTTTAATTATGACTTATGAGATCTCTACTTATATATATTTTTTTATTTTTGAGTTATGATTCAAAAAATATTAATTTTTTATATTTTTTCCTTTAATCACAAAGTACATATTTTTGAGAGGTAATATATTCTCCAAAGTTGGTTAGTATAATTTATTCACGGGAAATTCTATCATGAACATTTCTTATTATATGCACCATTAAGTTATATTATTATTATTTTTAATTATGACTTATGAGATCTCCACATATATATATTTTTTTATTTTTAAGTTATGGTTCAAAAAATATTAATTTTTTATATTTTTTCCTTTAATTACAAAGTACATATTTTTGAGAGGTATACGCCATAAATTTTCCCTTTATTCAATTCCTTGACAACTTGCCAGCAGGGATGGACATAGAGGGAGCCGGAGACGATCGCCCACTCCCCTACGATTTCAAAAACTTTGGTATTATAATAGTATTAATTATAATTATCTCTAAATTATAGATGTTTGCCCCTTAATTTTATTTATTTTTTTTTACAAATTTTAAGTGGTCATTCTCTTTTGATTTTTTTTTTTTAATTTAAGGGTACGTTTGTTTGAACGGACTGGATAAGGGAAATTGTAATCCATCAGACTATTAGTTCTGGGATATATTGTCCCCAAATAATTTGGTTGGACTGGATTTGTATCCTATTTTTGTTTAGTCATGGGATTAAATGTCTGAATTGAACTATTTTTAGTTATTCAATATTTGTTTAGGATATTATGGAGAATGATAAATATTCAAATGACTATTTTATCATTTTTAATTATTTACTAAGTAATAGTAATATTAAATATAGCTTTAATATTTTAATTATTTTTAGCTAGATTAAATAAAAGTTTATTTTATTTTATTTTTTGCACAATTAAATAAATTTATTTTTAAAAAATTAAATAAATAATTAAATAAATTTATTTTTTAAAAATTAAATAAATAAAATATCAATAAAAATATATGTTATTTTTTAATTAAAATTTAATAAAATAATGAAATTAAATAAAACATCTATTAAAATTTAAATAATGAAATTAAATAAAATATAAACAAAATTTTAAAATAAAACATCAATAAAATATCTATAAAAAAATATTTTAAAAAATTAAATAAATAAAAAATAAATATTAAATAAAATTATTTTATTTTTAAATTGAAACATTTAAATTTTATTGAATTTTACTAAAAATAATACATAATTAAATACTAGAGGGCAAAAATATAATTTTATTGTCTAATTCAATGGGATGAGTTATCCCATGATTTCTATCCCACCTCCTATGGGATAGGATAGTCCCACAAATATGGGACTAATAGTCCGGGAGAACTATTAGTCCGGCGCAAAACTTTTGAAACAAACAATGGATTATTAGTCTAGTAAGATTAATAATCCAATCTCACATCCTAATCCTTCAAAACAAACACACCCTAAGTGGTTGCTTTTCTATATTTATAAAATATTGGCTTAAAGTAAAAATTTTAAAGGCAAATTACATATACACCCCTCGAGGTTTGGCTAAATTACAGATGCCCCCTGAGGTTTGAGAAATTACGAATTCCCCCCTGAATGCTATATTTGCATAAGAAATTAGGGGGTAATTTGTTATGAAATATAAACCTCAGGGGGCAAATTGTTATGAAAATACAAACCTCAGAGGGCGGGATGTAATTTCCGAAACCTCAGGGGGGTATCTGTAATTTAGCCAAATCTCGAGGGGTGTATATGTAATTTGCCCAAATTTTAAAAATCTTAGACAAAATATAATAAAATTAATAATTTTTTATAATTGCCATTGATAACAAGCTTTATTTCTATATGATAAAATAAAATATTAACTAGTTTTTTTTTGGGGGGAGGATAATTAATGTATAGTTATTTGATTCTATCTTAGACGCTTTTAATGATATGAAAGAGTATCAAATATATCTCAAAATATCTCACTTTAATAAATAATTTATTTCAATATGGATAAAAAAAATGTTATTTATATATATTCTCATCTTATTTTTACTTTTTATATAACGCTAAAAAATTAATACTGCAATCCACATTTTGTATTTAAAATTTTTGTAAGTATATATATATTCGCCCCATATATGAAAATTATGAATCCTTCCATACTTACTTACAAGGGTGCCAAAATTGAAGAAACTAAACAATCTGTTACAAAATACACAATTTCAATAATTTGAGTATGCAAATACACATGCATTTTTTTTAATTTGCCTTTTTTAAAAATGAATTAAAAATTACTCCTCAACTTTTAATTTATTTTAAGATCTATTATCTCTCACATTTTTTTTTTATATATTTTGAAAAAAAAATTAAAAAAATTAAAAAAAAAATTAACTTTTAACCATTTTCTTAAAAAGAATCTTAAAGTTTGGATAGATTGGATGAGTGACGAATAGAAGGCCATCGAATCGAATCCAACCTGATCCACAAGCTACCTATCACGTGGTGATGTTCCATATAATTATCTGAGTATTGTAATTTTTTTTTTTTTAATAAAAACAAAACCCAATTAATACAAAATGAATAAGTACTCTCGGAAATGGAGAGGCAATGGCATCGTTCATTCCTACCAATCTATTACAACATGGATGGAGGAGAAGCAACATTATGTACAAAGATTGACAAAAGCATGGACACTCTCATCCTCTTCCTAACCATCGCTGGCTATTTATGTACTCAAAACAAGTATTAGGGCCAACTGTTTGAGCCTCTTCATGTCTATCCAAATCATCTGGCACTAGTAGTGATCATGATTTCTCTCTGTAAAATTTAATATTTCTATGCAACTACCAGACAAAGAAGCCCTCACATCAATTCTTTCTACTACTTGGCTTGCCTTGGTGTCACGGACTGGTTGGCTCGGCTTTGTTTTGGTTCATCTTCATCTGTTGTTCTACTCTCTCAAACTGGTAAGAAGCCGCTCGAAGAACCGCCGTCTTCTCTGGCCTTCACCTCCACCTCTGGACAATCACCGCACTTCCGGCACCTAGCCACGGCGAGGATCTGGCGGCACGACGGGCATGAGGAGTGAGATCCGAGCCACGTGTCGATGCAGGCGACATGGAATCCGTGGCCGCACTGAGGAAGCAAGCGGATCTCGTCCCCGTCGGCGTACTCCGCCAGGCAGATCGGGCACTCGCCGAGCTTGGAGTTGGCGGCGGAGGAGTCGTAAGTGAGCCTCGGAAGCGACTGGAGGATCTTCTTTTTGAGGCCTTTGTTGGGGGCGGCGGCGGAGGAGGAGGAGGTGCTGCGGCGGAGCCAGGCGCATCGGGCCACGGCAATGAAGCCGACGACGCAGATTAGGGCGCAGAGTAGGGCGGCGAGGATGACGACGAAGTCCGACTCGACGGCTACGGCCTCCGGGGGTTGCGCCGCCGCAGTGGCTGAGGAAGAGGAAGATGAAGATGAGCTGACGCCGCCGAGAAATCTAGGTGGACGAGTCATGGAGAGAGAGAGGGAGAGAGACAGAGGAGGTGGGGGAGGGTGGATGGAGCGGTGTGGGGGTATTATATAACAAGGACTGAAGTGAAAAGTGAACATGTGGGGGGTTGGAAAGTGGAAGGAGAAGGGGAGACAAAAGGAGAGATATCCAAAGTGCTAAGCTTCTCGACTCTCTCCAGCATCCAATACCCAAAATATTAGTAGATTATGGGAGTAAAAAATCTGGTTTGGGATAAATTTTTTTGACTTTTGTAAAATAATAAAATGATTATGATTTAGATGTGATATTTTGTCTTATTGAGTTAAAAAATTTATGTTGTCTTTTTAAGTAAGTGTTTCTTTAGAGAAATTTAACTCTAGAGGATCTTTGGTGCTCTCCAGCATCCAATACCCAAAATATTACTAGTAGATTATGGGAGTAAAAAATCTGGTTTGGGATAAATTTTTTTGACTTTTGTAAAATAATAAAATGATTATGATTCAGATGTGATATTTTGTCTTATTGAGTTAAAAAATTTATGTTGTCTTTTTAAGTAAGTGTTTGGGGTAAATTAAAAAAAGTGTATTTTTTATTTATATATATTTATTTAGGTCACATTAATTCATATATTTTTTTAAAAACTTTTCTAATCATTTTTTTTTATTTTTTTACACTTTTTTTATTATAAAAAATCAAAAAATATATTTATTTAGAACATTTCAAATCACTCATAAATAACGTGCCAAATATATATATATATATATATATATATTTCAAAATATTAAGTTCTGTTTGATTTAATTTTAAAATTATAATTTAAGTGTAAAGTTACATTCTGAGTTGAGTTTTGAAAATAAAAAAATTATTTCATTATAAATTTTGAGTTATGTTTTGAGTCCTCATTTGGCAGGTAATTTTTTTGAGGCTGGTGAATTTTTAAGAGTTATTTGAGATGATCTAAATAAGTGTACTTTTTGTCTTTTTACGAAAAGATGTGCAGAAAAGTAGAAAAATGATGTGATAAAAAAAAGATAAAAATATTGATTATTTTTGAGTTGGCAAACTTGGCCTTAGTCATAAAAAGATAAAAAAAATTTTAAAAAAAAATCACATTCAAACTATAATTATTTTATTTTCCTCTCACAAAAGTCAAAAAATTCAACCCAAATGAACTTTTTAACCTCAAGCTAAAATAATCAAAAAGTCAACCCAACTTTCCAAACAAAGCCTGAATTTTGAATTGTATTTTGAAATTTTTTGAATTTATTTTTTTAAATATTTAAAAATTTTCTTAATTTTATTTTTTTAAATATTTAAAAAAATTATTTTTATTTTTTTAGCGTAAATATTTTTCTTATTGAAATTTTATATTTTTTCAAAAAAATAAAAAAATAAAAAATAATTTTAAAGAACAAAATAAAAAATAATTTTGATTTTTTTTAAATAGAGTTTTGAAAAGAGTTTGGTTATGAGTTAGGAAAATAGTTTTTGAATTGTGTGTTTGGTTATGAGTTTTGAAAATAGTTTTTAAATTGAGTGTTTGATTACGAGTTTTGAAAAAAGTTTTAATTTTTTTTTTATTAGAATCACAAGTCCAAAACTAAACCAAGCACTATCTTAATTTCTTTTTTTAATTTTGTCTCAAAATATCATACTTTTTTTAAAAATCAAAATATTAGTTTCTTTTCAAAAATTAAATACTAAAATATTATAAATTTCTTGTTTTACTCTTATTTTAAATTCATACATAAAAAGTATAATTATGACAATTGATATTCTAAAAAAAAAAAGCCAAAGTAGTTTTGAAGAATTAGTATTTTTGAAATGTAATAATTGTATTACTAAAAAAAAGTTAGATTCCCTGAAATGGGGAGTTGGAGTCACTGTTGTGTAGCTTGCACGACAATGACTGTTGCACTGCTCATGGGAAAATTTTGAACCTTATTTTTATGATTTGAACCGTTTAATTTTCAAAAAATATCTAGTAGAATATATATATAAATAATCAAATTGATCAGACATCAATAAACTCTTCATCAACACGCATTTATATTTAGTTTAATACTTACATATATTCAATATTCTTTAAAAATGTAATTATTTAAATTATTAAAATAAAATCTGAAATTATTTTCATGAGTTACACAATAATTTCTGTTATGCAAGCCGTACAATAATGACTTCTGGTTCACAAAAGGGTATATAGTTTTCTCATCGAATAAGAAAGCAATCTCATTCACGATACGCGATCAACACCGTGAGCTTCTCTCTCAAGTCAAAATTTTAAATTTGTCTGTGAAAAATTAAATAAACTCCATAAATAAAAAATTGAATTTAGTTTATAAATTTTAAATTCTACACTTTTCTAAATAAAATTTAAATTATATATAAAAAATAAAAATAAAAACTTATCAGTGATAAAGTCTGTTAAAGAGGGAAAAAAATATTTTAGAATCAATTTGAAATTATTTTGGTTTGGTGAGGGGTGTGGGATGACGGGAAAGGATGGGGAAGTGTAATTTTTTATTTTTTATTTTTGTCTATGCTTGACTTATGAGTTATTTTGGTTAAATTAATTAATAAAGATAAAATAAATTAATTTAGTTCATAAGATAAATTTTCATATTTAAATTATAATTATTATTTTTTTCACAATCATTTAATCAATTTAAAAAAAAAAGAGTCAATTTATCATGAACATAATTTTTTTAACTAGGTTAAAATAGTCAAAAAAATAAAAAGACGGGCCAAATTAACTCATCTCAAATGAGGGCTAAATAAACTCATATACATAGAGTTGCAAGGAATTTTTTTATTTATTTAGATTTTGTTTGGGAAGTTGGCTGTTTTAATTGACTGTTTGATTTTTTGACTTTTTTAGTCTGACTAAAATAGTTGTGTTTAAAAAGTTTTTTTTTTTTTTTTGTAATTGATTTGATGATTGTGAAAGCACAAATAAAATAATTATGGATTGAATGTGATATTTTGTCTAATTGATTATTTTAATTTATCTTGTCTTTTAGTGAGCTATTTTAGCCTAACCATCTTTCCAAACCCATAATATACTTTAACGATCATAAATTTGCTATTTGTTTATTGAAAAATAATTAAGACCCACAAAATACTTCCATAATTATACTCACAATGATGTAATATTATATATGTCAATTTTTAATTTGTTACATATTCAATGATATAACCCCACTCTCTTGCCACATCATTATGAGTGGCTTTTTGGGTCTAAAAGTGTGGGTGAGCATTGCTCTGGTTTATTTGACTGTAACAGTTTGGTAATTTTTTTTTTAAAACACAATATTGCTGTGTTATTATTATTATTTTTTGTTTTTTTTTTTTTACTATTTTACTATTTGTTAAAAAAAATTAATTATTTTGATACTAGGAGATATGTGTTTTAAATTAGCTCACGGTCCGACCTATGTCGTGCGGACACATGTGCCTTACGTAGGGTTACAAACAAGCCAACTTGTAAGATTTGGGACACATGTGCCTTACGTAGGGTTACAAACAAGCCAACTTGTAAGATTTGTGCCCGGCTCAAGCTAAGGGCGGACTCAAGATTTGTCGATGGAGTGGACTAATATTAAGATAAAATTATACAATATATTTTATGTATAATCACATAAGAAAAAATGATAATTTAATAATACAATCTAAATTAATATCTAAATTTATTGATTAAAAATAATTGTGGCTTGACTTTCCACGCTCCATTCGGAAGGCGAATAGCCCTACAGTTCGGACTTCACTTATGGTTCTGAATTTGATTTCACAAATGCAATGTGAAATAGTGAAAACACAAAAAAAGTCCAAATCCGGCAATTCTTTTTGAAAAATCAATGTTTGAATCAAATGCCAAAAATAGGCTGCTTTGCCAGATTACAGAGTTGCCACCTAAATATTTTTGAGAAATTTAGGAAACCCGATACTTGTGCCAAAGGCCATTAGTCCGTCATCACCAAAGAGTCTTGGCTTGGGAACTTAGGTACGAAAGGGGAAGGTCATAAATTGAGCACCCCACTCGCCCAATCAAAGATCGACCTCTACTAATCATGATGTATTTCTTATTTACATTATATGCTCTTGTTCCGATTATTAGCATAACATTACTATGTGACGCACACAAAAATATAGACTAATTTACAAGAATTGGAACATTTGATCTCATGTTTTGTTTTGAAATTGTTTTGTGAATTTGCCACTTAAAAAAGTGGGCTAAAATGGACATTTAATCAAACCGTCCCAATTCAAGTAATTAACCTTCATCCACTGGCATTCAGACAGTTGTATCAATTAAGCACTTAGCCTCATGGAATTCATGCTTTAAACATGGCAGCACAAACACTCAATGCAAGATGCTAAAACAATAAAAAGCTCACCTAGTACTCTGAGCCAAAACAAAACAAAATAATTAAAAAAGTATGCATGTTCCTAATTTTGTGCGATTATGGCTAATGCAACACATGCGATATACAAGGCTTGGCTACTAATTTATGACATGTGAATCAATTTGCTAACATACGGTCTAAGCACGTATTCAAAGAATTATTTAAACGACAATGCAAATTTGAATGATGAACCGAGCCTTGGTGCATGCAATACAAGTAGATGCAAGGCATAAGAATGCTAATGAAACATGCTCTATACTAACCATTGTAAGCAAATAAATAAAAGGGAGAAAGATGTGGGGTTGGAAGACATACACATTATTACAACGTTTGATCCCTCACGCAGAAAGGTGTGAATCAATGTCCGATAATCCAAATTAACTAATTATTACACAACTTGGCGAATGAATAATAATTAACAACTAAGCTAATTAACTACTTTATTACAACAATTTAACTAACTATACCAATTATCAATAAGTAATGGCTTACAACAATACTAACTCCAATAAGATTAATTTACAATTAATCTTAAGGGTGCATGTACAGCGCCTGAGAGCTACTCTGTCTGTCCAAGCCAACTCTGTTTCACCTTAGCCATTGCCTCTGTTTTCTGCAAAACTGCACTACTGGCCACACACTGAGGGCCAGCCGTGCATTAATGATGGCCGGTTGAGTCTACAGATGGCTGGCCGTGCATCAATTTGGTGCTAAACTCTGTTTTTTTATTTTGAGGTGAATCAGTGCAGACAGAGTGTTCTCAAGCTCTGTTTATCCCATCTTTCCTTCTTTGTCATGGAGAGGGTCGAGAGAAGGATGAAGTTGGTCCCAAAACCATCAACGAGCAAGTTGATTGCTTGATGATTCCGGATACAAGTTTGGACAAAAGTCAATGAACGCAATGAATAAGACCACCCCTCCCTCTTGTCATAGAGTGAACTCAAAGAGGGAGGTTGCAACGTTTCAAGAATCATCAAAATGCCATGAATTAGCATGTGACGACTTTTGACACAAAGAACTTGACATAACATTCGGCCAAGTTCAAGTGATTCTAACCATTTTCTTTTTATGGGTTGTTCCAAGTTTTAAGCCAATTTTATGAAGCTTTGCCATTCTTTAGTCCATTTGTCCATGGTGGTATTAAAGTCCTCTAAACAAGAAGTAATGTCAAGCGAGAGGTTCTTCTAAAGCATGATAGAGACTAATACCATTGACAATGAATCTCCGAAAAGATTAAGCCATTAGGTAGGAGTCTCTTATACATATTTTGAGCAACCTCAATCGGTTGAAATCATTCTCAAGAATGAAAGAGATGGCTGGTAGATTGATTGTTAAAATTAGACTTTTAGACAAGGAAATAAATTGAAGAAAAGCTTAGAACAATATATAACATGTTATGTATGCAAAGTTATGAGACAACAAATGAACTAACCAAAGCTTGAACCAATTAAACAACTTAGGACAGCCCTCAAACAGCCCTTATTAGATGAAAAACAGAGGCTCAAAGTTAACGAAAAGTGCCTACAAAGTTAAATAACAAAGATAGGAGCAAGGCTAGTAAGCAAGAACAGTGAGAGGTGGCTAACCCCTCCACTTTTGCAAACTCAAAGCATGTTTTTTTTTTTTTAGCCTTTTTAAAACTCTGAAAATCAGTGTAGATATCAAAGAAAAAGAGTGGAAAAGTAAGGGTTTGAGCTATAGGTAAAGGTGTAGAAATAGCATACTCTCTTTACCCTTTTGGTAACTCTTCAAATCCAAACTTAAACACTTCAAATAGGATCAAAACAATACAAAACAATAAGAATTATGTAGCAAATGAAAGAAATGAAAGCAAGAGAGAAGATAACAAGCTTATACCTCTCAAGGGGTAAGCTTTTTGTTTGTGACCCAAACTTAGTCTCAACCCACTCTCAAGCTTGAATTATGCTTCTCAAAGATCAACCAAGGCCCCAAGATGGTGAGACAAGGTTGTGTATGGTGTATGGAGATGACACAAGGGAGCTAGGTTAACTCAAAGGTTTCTTGTTATGGAAGGAGAAGGAGAGAGGAGCTCTCAAGGTGTATACAGGCTTTCTAAATTTTGTTCAACCCCTAAAATAGAGGCTGAACCTCGTTTTTATAGAATTTGAGCCCAAAAGGCGATAAATATCTTCAAAAATGGACAGTTGGTGGTCTCTCACCCAAAATAGTGTTTCTCGCCACCAAGGCTTGGCTCGCCATTCATAGCCACGGTCAGCCATCACTGATGCACAGTTGGGCCTTGATGCCCTTCCCTGTTTTTTTTTGTTCAAACTCAGCTCATGGTGGCAAAAGGTCCAAAAATGAGACTCAAAGGTTCAAACAAGGTAAATGTTGAAGATTTGAGGTTATTTCGAGAGCCTGACTGAATCTGAATCACTTTGAATTCAAAGCACACAATTCAACTTTCATCATCAAGTGTATCGAACCAAATGCCTAAGTCTTGCGGGCAGTCAAAATGGGGTGTCTACAACAATCTAACAAAGTTGTGCTCAACGAGTCTTTAAAGATTCAAATTTATCGATTACAGAATCTAGATCAATTTTCAAAATAAGGTCTCATTCAAGGTCGAGAGACAAGCAATCAGCAAGAAACTCATCCTCCATTGAATTACGAATGGAAGTTTTAACATGCTTCATACCCGAAAATGCTCTTTCCTTAGTCGTCGTAGAAACATAAAGGATTGACACAAGACGAGTCAATTTGTAGATCATGGTGTACTGCTCAAACTTTCCTATCACAAATAGTTCTCGGCACAATTTGGCAAGGGTAGATATCTTATAAAACTCGAGGTCACAAACAACATCAAGCTTATAATGCATTAATTGACATCTCAAAGCATAGATGTCCTGAGAAGTGAAATCTTAGGGATAAAATTTGTCAACAAGATTGCAAATATTATCCACATTAAAAGATCTAAAATTGCCACTAGGATCCAAAGCTAAGCTAAGAGAAAGAAGTTCCATTACCCCATCATTAAATCTATGTTCTAACTCCATCATTTGAAAATCAATTGTAGAGTTGAATATGTCAAAGTGATAATGATGCTCAATTATAATGTGATCTTGTTGACGATGACGACTTGTACCCTCTTCATAAGGAGAACTCATATCATGTACCGCAATGTTATGTTGATTGCAAAATGACACCACATTTGCAACAAAAATGTCCTAATCATCTTGTCTAAGTTTTTGAAGGAGAGCTTTTGTTGTGGAGACTAATTTCATCGCATTTAAGATGTCTTGAGTTTTCTGTTGTAAGGCTTGACAAAGTATATTCACGATTCTCAAAATGTTGTCCATCAAGTGCAAAATGAATATGAATTCAAAGCTCTTCATTACTTTGTAAGCACCATTAGCTTGCCCGCAAATTTGTTGATTTGTACTCTTCTTGAGACTTTCAACAACTACATAAGATGCCTCATACATATCAATCAAATTTCTAACAGAATCATAATGCGAGCTCCAACGAGTAACTCCAGCTCAATGCAAGGTACTAATTTGATTGGCCCCTTTACCAGATTGACGTTCATCACTAGCCAACATATTTTCAATCTTACTCCTATGAAAACATTTTAATTCACCAAGGTATTTTGGAGAAGAAGCAACAAGATTGACAATACAACTCAAGTGAGAAAAAAATTGCCAAACATTAGGCTCATCTTTTGCTGCCGCAATTAAGGCCAATTGCAGACGATATGCAAAGTAATGTACATAATATGCATAAGGGCAATCCTTAAGAAATAAAGCTTGAAGTCCATTCCATTCGCCGAGCATATTGCTAGCACCATCATACCCTTGACCACGCATGTTTTGAATAGATTAAATCGAGAAAGGATATTCGATATCTCTTTTTTAAGAGTCAATGCAAATGTATTTTCGACACCCACAATATCAAAGAACCGTTCCCCTAGCAAACCATCATTCTTGACGTATCTCAAAATAAGGGTCATTTGTTTTTTTTTTAGACTCGTCTTGGGATTCATCAACAAGAATACAAAAATAACATTCTGCAACTTCATCAAAAATCATATTCCTAACTCTATTAGCAAGTATATACAAAATCTCCTTTTGGATCTTCGGAGAAGTGTATTTGGCATTTTGTGGAGCATTCTTTAATATAATGCTCTCAAGTGCATCATTCCCTCTCGCCTTGAACTTTAATAATTCAATTAGATTACCTTGATTCAATGAAATCGAGCTTTCATCATGACCTCTAAAACCAAGTCCTTGAAGAGCTAGTACTCTAATAGTTTCAATTGTTGCCTTTACCCGCATTCGATTCTTCAAAATTTCTTCTTTTTATTGCGCATTCAAAACTTTTTCAATGTGTTGGGACGTTTTTGTAAATTGTCATGACTAATAACACAATGACTATGCGATGAAGATGCAAGTTTGACATGAAGCAAAAAAACACATTTGGATCCATCATTTACTCTCTTTTAATTGTTAAACCCCTCATTAACAAGTGTAGAATGACTAATCGACTTATTTGGCTGGTCAAACAGAAAGCATGAAAAACAATATGCTTTATCCTTTGAAGGAGAATACTCTAGTCAAGAAAATTGTTTAAACCAAATATGTTAGAATCTGCGATTCTGTTTTCCAAATAAGGACCTAGGATACTCAAGTTTAGGTTGATAAGGCCCCAAGTTCACATAACCTCATCTAACCTCATCCCGTTGATCAACCGGATATTCACAAATTTGCAAGCGTAAACTAGGATTCCATTGAATAACAATTGAATCAAATTCACTTGGTTTATTTGCTTAAGGCGTGGATGGCGGTTGCACATCAAAAAATGAGGTTTCAACAACATTGGATGTTGTACTACTAGACTTTTGTTTTGATTGATAGAATGAGAAAAGGGTTTTACCTTTTTTGAGTGGTGGAGGTTCCATTATTTATAACCCCCCCCCCCCAAAAAAAAAAAAAAAAAAAAACTAGCCCTATTTAATATTAAACTAGAGTATATTAGCAATAATTTTAAATATTAGAGTTTTTATATATATCCTCAATAAAAATTTTATTTAGGCTTTCATTATTTTGATATATGTCCAAAAAAAAACTGTTCAAAGCTCAAAAACTAAAAGCAATATAAAACAAAAGGTTAAGCAAAAAAGATTCTTTTGATTAAGAGTAAAAAAGATTAAGAAGAAAAAAAGATTAAGAAAAAAAATCCATTCAGGCCGTGAAGTCATGAAATGTCAGATAAGATTAAGAGCAATAAGATTAGTCAAATCCATTCTCAACCAAAATAAGATTAAGAAGAAGGAAAAAAAAAAGGGTCAAAGTCATGAAAGAGCAGTACCTGTACCACCGATGGGAAGGAGAAGAAGAGAAAGTGAAAAAGAGTCTGAGAGAAGCTGCTAATGGGGCTGCCTATTTATATTTTTGGGTTGCCTCTTTAAACAAATACAAACCTATTAGGCTGTCTATTTATTTTTTCGGGTAAGTGTTGGGCTACTGTTGGGCTGCCTATCTAAAAAACAAACAAAAAAATTATTGACCCTTATTTGGGGCTGGGTTGGGAGGCCGAGCTGGACTGGGAGACTGGGTTGGGATGGGTTGAAAAAAAAAAATTTACAATTTTTTTAAATTTTGGACTAGGCTGCAGCCACTTATGCCTAGCCCTAGGTCCGCCCTTCAAGCTCCATAATGAAAAAAAAAATGCTAATATATAAATAATATTTTTACATTATTTAATATGTAAATCATATAATTATTCTATTATTTAAATAAAAAATAAATGAGCTGAGTTTATTCGAGTTTGAGTTTGAACTTGAGCTCGAATCATTTATTAAACAAGACTATAAAAATTTAATTTGAACTCGTATATTTACTTAACAAATCAAATTGAACCGAGCTCACAAATAATATGATTCATTTGGTCTTTCCAATGTACTTAAAAAAAAAAAAATTATGATTCATTTACAACACTAACTTGAAGGGTATATTTTAACAAAATTCATATTAAACAACAACACTACAAATCCATTTTTATCAATCTAAAATTTATCCATAAAAAGAAATTAATAGTTCAAATTTATTTTACTTATGAACTCTATATTTTATCAATTTAATCTCCACTACGTAAATTTATTCGGGATAAATTATAAATTTATAAGGATGAATTCTTAGCATTTTTTGCTATTAAAACTTCGGATGCCCAAAAGCAAACAAACACAAAAGCTCCAGAAAACAGAGATGACCACATATGCTTACTGGGAATCACAAGAAAATGGTTCAGATTGAGAGCTAGTCCTACTTGCGTTTAATTTATCTGTCAAGAAGAAAAAAGTTTGGTTTGGACACATACTTTATAGTTTTAATAATGGAATAAGTATATATATATATATATGGAAGGACGCAACTCATCAGAGTTGCATTAAGTTGCACCCTGCCTCTTTCTGAGTTGCACCTCTCATATTTTGCTTATTTTTTGGTCTTATACACTGAATTATATTTTTTCTAATTTAGATAGAAATTTGAAAAAGAAAAAAAAATTAAAAGAAATGGTAAAAAATCACAAGAAAATGGTTCAGATTGAGAGCTAGTCCTACTTGCGTTTAATTTATCTGTCAAGAAGAAAAAAGTTTGGTTTGGACACATACTTTATAGTTTTAATAATGGAATAAGTATATATATATATATATGGAAGGACGCAACTCATCAGAGTTGCATTAAGTTGCACCCCGCCTCTTTCTGAGTTGCACCTCTCATATTTTGCTTATTTTTTGGTCTTATACTTTGAATTATATTTTTTCTAATTTAGATAGAAATTTGAAAAAGAAAAAAAAATTAAAAGAAATGGTAAAAAAAAAGAGAGCTCATATTTAATTTATATTTCTCACCTTTTTAATTTTAAATTTTTATCAAAATTCATCCTCTGCTCATGTGAAAGATGGTGCACTTCAAATGCCAATTGTTTGTCAAATTAAATTAGATAAAATTATTAGTTCAATAAAATTGAGTAAAGAAATTACTAGTGTGGTAGTATTAAATTAGAAACAAATTGTATTTGTTTGTGTAGTAATATGATAATATTAGTTAGTTGAGATTAAATTTATGAATTTAAGTAAAAATTCTCATTATATATATATATATATAAAAGTTATATATTTTTATTGTACGAGCACGAAATAATCTTCACTCATATAATCTTGTTGATCAAATTTGCGCTCCTCCAAACGTTATTGTGACACCTGAAATCACAAGTATGAGCTAGCCAACGGGTGTGTACCGAAAACCCCTTTCGATGCCTAAGTCAGCAAATAGACTAAAGACGCCAAACCTCTGTGAATTCAGGAGTATGAATTGCAATACCTGGGATGAGGGTTTGGCTTGAGTTTTTGTAGATTCCTCATGGCACAATCCTAGTAAAACTCTATCTCCTTTTTAGAGTCCTCCTAGTAATCACATTCCTAAAGGATAATACTTATCATTTAACATCCTCTTCATTGCAAGCCAAGTGAGATAGCACAACTCTTTGCTCAGCTTTCTACCGTGCACTGGCTTAACCGTGCTACACACAACGCCGTGCATGGCTTACATGGCGCGCCACCATGTTGACATTGTGTGGATCTTCTCCTAGCTTAGTCAAACCTCCATTCTCAGTCCGTTGACTTCCTTCCCTTGTAGCTCGGTCAAAGTGCTGACTGCCATTAGGAAGTAGCTAGATCTAGAAAATTGGGTATTTACCAATTCGGTCAAACATCCTTGACCGCGACTAGGAAGTATTTAGGTCTAAAAGTATGGGTATTTACTAGTTCAGTCAAACATCTTTGACCGCCACTAGGAAATAGCTAGGTCCAGAAATATGGGCATTTACTAGTTCGGTCAAATATCTTTGACCGCCTTCCAACTTAGCTTTGGTCAAACCATTAATAGCCTTCTAACCAAGCTTCGGTCAAATCTTTGACCGCCTTTGAACATAGCTTCAATCAAATCTTTGACCGCCTTCCAACCTAGCTTCGGTCAAGCCTTTGATCGCCTTCCAACTTAGCTCGGCCCAATTTGGCTACACAAATTACCTTCTTAATTGTCTCTTAATTCTATCTGTAGTGCATGATTAGGATTACTCTGTCTAGCTGAGCTGCTTTGCCCCATCCAACTAGGCTCACCAAAATTGCTCAGTCATAAATTTCTCAAAGTAGGACAATCCTACTATCCTACTTTGTCGAACTAACTAGCTCAGTCAAAGATTTCTCAAAATTGGACAATCCTACCAACTTACTTTGCCGAGCTATCCAACCGGGCAAAGATTTTTTGAAGTTGGACGATCTTGCCAACCTACTTTGTCGAACTAACTAGCCGAACAAAGATTTTCCAAATTTGGATAAACCTACTAACCTACTTTGCCGAGCTAACTAGCTGGGCAAAGATTTCTCCAAAGTCGGTCAAACCTGCCAACCTACTTTGCCGAGCTAACTAGCTCGGTCAAAGATTTCCTAAAGTTGGTCAATCCTGCCAACCTACTTTGCCGAGCTAACTAGCCAAGTAAAGATCTGCCAACCTATTTTGCCGAGCTAACCAACTCAATCAAAGATTTTTCAAAGTTAGCGAATCCTGCTAACCTACCTTGCCGAGCTAACCAGCTTGGTCAAAGATTTTCCCAGAGTTGGTCAATCCTGCTAACTTACTTCGCCAAGCTAACTAGTCGGGCAAAGATTTTTCAAAGTTGGTCAGACCTACCAATCTACTTTGCCGAGCTAACTAGCTCAGTCAAAGATTTCTCAAAGTTGGACAATTCTACCAACCTATTTTGCTGAGCTAACTAATCGGGCAAATTTTTTTCAAAGTTAGTCAAACTTGCCAATCTACTTTGCCGAGTTAACGAGCTTGGTCAAAGATTTCTTAAAGTTGGACAATCCTGCCAACCCACTTTGCCGAGTGTAGCTCGACTTTTTCGAGCCCCCTTTCGGGAGACGAATATAAGCCTCACAGTTCGGACTCCTACGATTCTGAATCTAATCTCACAAGTGCAATGTGAAATTGATAAACGCCAAAGAGTCCAAATTCAACAAATCTTTTGGAAAATCGATTTTGAATCAAATTGTCAAAAATATACTGCTTTGCCAGATACAGAGTCGCCACCTAAATGTTATATTTTGGAAAAATTTAGGAAACACATGACTCATGCCAAGGCCGCATGTCCGTCATCACCAAGATTGTCTCGGCTTGAGAACTTAGGTACGAGAGGGGAAGGTCATGAATTTAGCACCCCCGCTCACCCGATCAAAGATCGGCCTCTACTAATCATGATATGAATCTTATGT